CACCTCGCCCCTCTGTCAATCCTTACATTGGCTTCCAGTATCCTATATGAGTCAATTCAAATTACTAACCTTTACCTGTAGATTTTTAAACAACTTTAGCCCATTATATTTCTTTGCTAATTCATAGGTATGCCTGTTCTCGGTCTCTCAGTTCTGCTGGTGATCTTCTCCTGTCAACTGCTCACACACTAACTGTTAATTCGCACATACAGGACTTCTCGCGAGCGGCTCCTTTTCTTTAAAACAGCTTGCCTACCCCCACCAGACTTTCCCATAGTCTTCAATAATTTAAGAAGTGCCTTAAAACCAATATCTTCAGGAAAGAGGCCTCCCAGAGTAACTTCTATTTCACAAACCTGTCTTTTGCTCATTCCTAAAAGGCCACACTCCAGTCTTGCCTTTCAGTTCTGCTACTTTCCCACCTTGTCATTTGGTTGCTATCCCCTTGATGCCCTACCATTTTGTTTTTGTACCCCACCTCCTCTAAACTGTAAGCTTGTTTGAGCAGGGTCCTCATTAACCTATTGTTTTGTAACATCGTGTAATTGTCTCATATATTGTGAAATGTTTCCCTTTTATAATATTGTAAAGCGCTGCAGAATAAGTTGGCTCTATATAAATGCTAATAATAATAATCAGAACCCCAACTAGAAAAATGTATAAGTTGTAATAGCTACTGTGAGTTCAGTTGACTGTGATATGGAACCCTGATGAGACTTATTGGTTCAAGGGTAAACAATCTGTTAAAAAGGCCATCTCTTTTTAATACTTTATATAGATAACCCATTAAAAGAAAAAAAAACAATTTCTAAGGATAATTACATATAAAATGAAATGAATATACTTTTTAGATGAGTCTGTAGGGTTCCAGTATTCTAAGCATTGGCTCTGTGGAGTGGGGGTGATGTGCTACTGGTAACAAAATAGGCAAGAATATTTACTTTTTAATGAGAAGCATTTGATTGGCGGGTCGTGGTAAATACTCTGCATGAGAATCTTTGAGAATCATTGGATTGGAAAGATGTCATCATACCTGATTATGTCAAAGGGGGTCAAGCAGAATACCATTATGGGACTGCTGCAGGCATCAGAATAAAAGTGAATAAATGTTTAATTTCATAAAATGTAAGTAGGGTCCATTATAAACCAAACTGACACAGAGTAATTTGAGATATAAAACGAGTTTTTATTTACACGGCGTTCAAGTTTACAGGTTTATATCACGTTCATATACCGAGGTATATGTGCATGTAAACAAAACAGAAAAATAAATATATCATTAACACTGATAGAAGTTTTTTTGTTGCTTTTTTTTGCATACACATTACAATTTTCTTTACCACACACTATTGGCACAAACTGGTGAAAAAATTGTAGCACGTTAAGGCACATTATACATCATGAGATACCCTGGAGATGGCTATTTAACATACAACACAAATATACCAAAATCTAAAATGGCTCTACATTGAAATTATATTGAAGGAGTTAATTTAAGGGACATATATACAAAATGCACCACATTGTAGTCGGCAAAAAAATACTGGCAGTTGTATTGGCAAATACTGGTACCATCTGGGCAGCCTTAAATATCACTCAGGTGGTGTAATGGACACGGGTTTATTATGGTCTTATTCATTAGAAATCACTTAATATAGTTTATTATGTTGAGTGCCATTTTTGAATTGTACCATTAGGGGGAGTAGTGAGCACCCTTTTGGAGACTTTCTTTGTCTGAGCCATGCGGCCAAGATGGATGCCTGACTCCTCCCCATTCAATGGCACACAGGGATTGGGTAAGGAAAGTCACATGCTCAGTCCCTTTATAAGGTGAAGCCACGTGCTGGAAGGGAACCATTCTTTTTCCAGGCCGAGCATTGAACATCTTGCAGCTGGCAACTGATAAGTATTTGTATCGCTGTTTTTATTTTTAAGTTTTATTTTAGTTAGTTTAGTTTTATTTTATTTTAATCTCATTTTAGTTTAGTTTCATTTTAGTTTAATCAATTATTATTTGGTGGTTTGATTAAACGGTAAATCATATTTTTTGGATAACATTTTGGTAGGGCAAAATCATTTTTATTATACAATGGTTGATGTGTATTTAGCATTGTGAGATTATTGCAGTTAAGATTGTTGTAGTATTGCATTGTTAGTTAAAGTATATAATATTTGACAACTGTTTTATACATGTGTATATATTGTTTCTTTATGCATGTATATTAAACATTATATATCTTTTACACAACTACCAAGGTGTGTGTCAGTTTGGATATTAATTGTTAAATCATATCTCTTCGAGTGTACATTCTTTTTTGGGTAATACTTTCAGGAGAGTGTTATTTGACTCCCATTGTGATGCATGCCACATGTGACTAACTCCATTTTGGAATAGCCCACATGGTGAGTAGACTCCATTTTGGATTCATCCTATTTCATTTGTACTTTGGGAGCAACATCTAAATTATTAAGATATACCAGTTAATACCATATCTGGTATTAATTTAGATATTTGGAACAATTAATAAAATTAGCGATAATTTTCCGTTTCAGGTGGCAAGCCTAATACCCAAACAAAAATCTTGTTTATGCATCTTTTACATGAAATTTACTTTTCAATCCTAATTTATTTCTGAGTATGTACTTTTTATTTACTTACCTATACTGAACATAGTTATGTGTTTATTTGTTTTTCGCTTTATATTTTTATTTACTTAAAAATAAATTCTATTTCATTATTGCAGTTTTTATTTTGCTTTAATACACACCTATAGAAAAGTTTATTGCAAAATTATATAGAATAATGTTTAAAACACACAGGTGTATTCACCAACGTGAGAAGTGAATTTTACATTTGAGGTCAAAATAGCCAACCTAGAAATATTGTCGGTCAGCTATGCTTTCAGTTTGTCTCCTGTCATTACTTATTGCCGATTCACCTTCTGTAATTTTAAAAATTAAGATTATAGGTACACTGAAGCCAGTATAATCATCTATTTTACCACGACAGGAGGCTTCATATTTTGCCGTTTTAACACCCTGAAAGAAAAGGAACTTCAGTGGGAAATTATAGGCCTATATCATTAATAAATGTTGATATAAAAATAATAGCTAAAGTCCTTGCCCTGAGATTCTCTCCCCTACTTCCTTTTCTGATTCATTCAGATCAGGTAGGTTTCGTTCCAGGTAGACAGCTGTATGAGAATACACGTAGAGCAGTTAATGTTGCTTGGGTTATGGCAGTAGGGAAGACACCATCAATACTTTTATCATTAGATGCAGAAAAGGCATTTGATAGGGTCGCCTGGCCTTATCTATTTTATTTGCTTCAATATTGGGGCTTTCCAGTCAATTGCATTACTATAATCCGTGCATTATATTCAAATCCCCAAGCAATAATACAGCTCCCTGGCTCAGTTAATACTCCGTTTGGAATATACAATGGCACACGTCAAGGATGCCCTCTCTCTCCTATTTTGTTTGCACTTATATTGGAACCCCTTCTGATCCATATCAGGGGAAGTGGCAATATACAGGGTATTCAAATAGGGAGGGAGATTTATAAAACAGCGGCTTATGCCGATGATATTTTAATCTCTATAGCAAACCCTTCTGAATCTATCCCTGAATTGTTTAAGTTGATAGAACAATTTGGAGCCATTTCAGGCTATAAGGTAAATTATAATAAATCGTGTGGAGTGCCTTTTCATTTATCTGAGATAGAACAAGACCAGCTAAAAACTAAATTTGATATGAGTATAGATAAATCTCTAAGCTATTTGGGTATTAAAATTGGATACGATTATAATACATTATTTAATGACAACTATGTACCTTTGATTAAAACTTTGAAAAAGGACCTAGAGAATTGGCATGATAAGCCAATTTCATGGATTGGCAGAATTCATTCTATAAAAATGAATATTTTACCGAGGCTTTTATTTCTATTTAAAGCATTGCCTATAAAGGTTTGTAAAGAGGACTTATTGGGTATTCAGAAAGCTATAGACACATTTATTTGGCAGGGCAAGCGACATAGGATAGCTAGAACTCTCTTGTATAGACCGAGAGTTAAAGGGGGACTAGGTCTCCCCAATTTAATTATTTATTATTACGCAGCCCAATTGGCTCAAATTGTTGGTTGGCATGCAAATCAAGGGAAATACAGATGGGCAGATATGGAGGAAGATTTAATGACACCAGACTCACCAGGGTTGTATATGTGGTTGAATAAGGTTTCAAGACCAGGGTTGAAACAAATATGCCCTTCTACGGCAAACTCCCTCCACATTTGGGATAAACTTAAGTTAAAACATGGTCTAACTAATTTCCCTTCACCCATGACCCCTGTTTTTTGGAATAGACAATTTATTCCTGGTATGGAAGAACACAATTTTCAAGGCTTAAAGGCAGGAGGAATCTATAGATATGTAGATCTTTGGTCAGAAGGAGAGGTAGTTTTATTTTCTAGTTTGTTGACCAGAGTAGAACTGAGGACAGGAGATTCAATGGAGGTAAAAACAGCAGTTAAATTCCCCTTCACTAATTTTGAAAAAATGTGCAAAATAGGTAGGTTAAAGGGAGGTCTTATCTCTGATTTGTATAAACAACTAAGTGAGGAACCTACGGTTTGGGCTCCATTAAAGTATATATCCTACTGGGAGGCAGATTTAGGTTCTTCTTTGGAAACTAAGGATTGGATAGATATCTGGGAAAAAGCATCCAAAATATCGATTTGTGTAATCACGCAGGAACAAATGTTTAAGATATTATTTAGGTGGCATGTGACCCCTGTTTTTTTGTACAAAATAGGTAAAAATCTGACGGATCTTTGTTGGAGGGGATGTGGTTTACAAGGGACATATTTACACATGTGGTGGGATTGTCCAAAGATTAAAAGCTATTGGGAGGAAATAAGGGAGCTAATTCAAGTGATAATACAGGGAAATATAGAACTCAATCCTTGGATATTTTTGCTATCGAAATCAATAGCAGGTATACCCTGCCATTCGCAGAAATTAATATTTTTTATTTTATTGGCCGCACGTAGATGTATAGCCGCTAGCTGGATAAATCTAGATTTACCATGAATGAGAGAGGTGGAATTAAAGATTCAAGAAAATTATATAATGGATGAATTATCATCTAGAGTAAGACATTCTTATTATATGTTTGGTAAGGTCTGGGAACCCTGGAAGGTTTATGCGAATAGGAAGGGTATAGGTAGATAGAGAGGCAGAGGGGGGGAGAGTGTATTTTTTTTTTTTTTTTTTTTTGTGTGTGTAAAAATTTGTATTGATGAATAACTCAAAATGGTGATATTAGAGCTTAAATGCAATCTTTTAGGTAATATTGCTGTTAAATGCATGTTAAAGATTGTATAATGTATAATGAGTTCTTTTTGTTGTTTTTAGTGTTAAATAAAGAAAGAATATAAAAAAAAAAAAAAAAAAAGAAAAGGAAGCATGAGGAACAGGGCGAAAATAAAATGTTATCTTCCTTGCTCCATTTCGTTGAACATAAAATATTGGACAAAGATGCGCCCACATCAAAACCAAAAGAGGCCGCTGCACCTCTAATGGAGTGTGCCCTGAAAGGACATATCAACGCCCCCGGGGACCAAAAACCTTCAAATCCATCTAGCCAACGTAGTAGTAGATATCAGCTTGTGTGGTGATGAACATAAAAATACACCAGAATCTGGCCTGAGCTGGAAGAAGGAAGGGGAGTCGTAACGTCCATGTACCAACTAAAAGAATTTGAGACACAAAGTTTAGGCACATCACAAAACAAAAAACAGATACAAAAAATAGACAATGCGGATTTGGTCCAATTAGAAATCATAAGGGTAACACCTGGTGCAGAAGAGGTGAAGGTTTCTTTGTGGATCTCGAATAAAAATATAGAAGAGAGAATTCTCAATTTAGTAACTAACCCAGACAGTGTTAAATTTTACACATTTATACTGTTATACCGATCAGCCACAATATTAAAACCTACCTGCTTAATATTGTGTAGGTCCCCTTGTGCTGCCAAAACAGCTGCGATGAAAGAAAATGTGATTCAGACTAGACAACCTTCTTCTATTGCTTCATTGTCCAGTTCTGACACTCACATCCCCAATGAAAGTGCTTTTACCGGTGGACAGGGGTCATCATGGGCACTCTGACAGGTCTGCGGCTAAAGAGTCCCATACGCCACAAACTCCAATGCACGGTGTGTTCTGACACATTTCCATCATGGTCAGCATTATGTTTTTAAGCAATGACCTTCATGCATCAATGAGCATTGGGCACCCATGACCCTGATACGGATTCACCCCTTGTCCTTCCTTGCACCACTTCTGGTAGAGATTAACCACTGCATACCAAGAACAATCTGCAAGACTTGCTGTTTTGGAGATGCTTTGACCCAGTCATCTAGCCATCACTATTTGGCTTTTGCAAAATTAACTCAGCTGGAAGCGGGAAAAATGGGCAAGAGAAAAGATCTGTCATGGGGTACTTACCCTAACTAATGAAAATTAAAACAGGTAGGCACACTCAAAATGCTGCTAAGGAACAGAAAGTATCCACACTACAATAAACAACTAGTAGTAGGTGCTCACTTGTGTAAGGCCATATTCCTAAAGGCCAAGAAAGTTACATATATTACTTGAACAAGGGGCACGACCACAAATACATGTGAAAAGATTTTTATTAAATGGGTCACAGTAATAGGCTCTCTCATTAATTGTATCAATGAACGAAAAAGACACACCATGTCAAATGGAAAGGGCAATGCAATAGCTACAAATTCTGCAATTACATATAAGCAGACTACATAATACATGAATCATTGGATACAAGTATACAGAATAGCTATAAGAGATACCTGATTTTTCAAACCCAAAAATAGTTATGTATACAAAGAGAAGAAACGCATACCAGACCTAGTGAGAAGAAGGACGAGAGTCAACCAATAAGCCCCCAACGTTTCAGCAAAATGCCTCAAGGGAGCCTGTAGTGAAAGAGTGAACAACACCCTTATATACCCATTAAAAAAACCAAAAGGGGAAACCATTGATTATGTTGATAACAAAGTTTATAATTGGCAATTTTAACATCAGAGACAGAACGCATCTAACAACATCCCCTAACAACAGTGATAGTGAGCGATCACCTACTGGATAAGCTAGCATTAGTCATTTTTTAGAACAGCGACACCCCAAAGGAGACGGTACAAGACCAGGAGAGGCAAGAGACGTCACCGTAAATCATCCCCCTCGGAGATATCCGGAGAAGGAGAGGAGAATATGGATACGCTGGTAGTGAACATCTCCAGGAGGACTCTGTCAGTAAGTGAGTTTTCAGTGCTTAACAAGGGCTTGGGTTTTGTTCCATAAGTATTACAGTCACTCACATTGGTTGAATTGGCACATGGATACATGTGTGAGCAGTAAAGGCACGTCAAGGCTTCAACCCTTGTTACTGACCATTCACAAACACACCATACTTTTTATTCATACGCATACGGTATTCCAGATGTTTTGGACCCGGGCCGGCGCTTCCTATAAGGCGAACTAGGCAGCCGCCTAGGGCGCTATATAGGAGGGGGCGCCCTGCGCCCCCATCGCCGGCCCTTTAAATTCTGCAGCCGCCTGAGCGCTCTATAGAGAGCGCTCAGGCGGCTGCTGCACTGCCTCACCTCCCCGGCACTGTAGCGTGGCCGAGCTCCTTTTCAGTGTGCACTTCCTGTCAGTCCGCCGGGTCGCGGATCGGATAGGAGCTCAGCCACGCTAAGTGCAGGGGAGGTGAGGAGAAGCTGCTGGGAGGGGGGAGGGAGAATACTCTACGGGAGGGGGAGGGGGGGATGATGGGGAGATGATGATTGATTGGGGAGATGATTTGGATGGGGGGAAGATGATTTGATGGGGGGGAGATGGGAGATGATTTGATGGGAAAGAGGGGGAGATGATGACTGATGGAGTGTGGAGGGGGGAGATTTGAATGGGAGGGAGATGATGGGGAGACGATCTGGATGGGGAGACAGGAGGGGAGATGATGAGGAGATGATCTGATTGGGAGATGATGATTTATGGGGAGATGGGAGGTGGGGGAGATGGAGGGGGGGAGATGATTTGATGGGGAGATGATTTGATGGGGAGGGATGATCGATGGGGGAAGATTGATTCGATGGGGGGGAAGATGATGGAGGGGAGGATGATTTGATGGAGGGGGGGAGGATGATTTGATGGGGAAAGAGGGGAGATGATTTGATGGGAGTGGAGGGGGGAGATGTGATGATTGATGGGGAGGAGTGGGGGGGAGATGATTTGATGGGAGGGGGGAGATGATCTTTATGGGAGTGGGGAGATGGGAGGGGGAGATGATGGGGAGATGATCTGATGGGAGTGGAGGGGGGGAGATGATTTGATGGGAGGGGGGAGATGATCGGATGGGGGATAGATGGGGAGGGGGGGAGGATGATGGGGAGGATGATTTGATGGGAGGGGAGATGATGGGGAGATGGGATTTGATAGAGGGGAGATGGGAGGGGGGAGGATGATTTGATGGGGAGATGACTTGATGGAGGAGGGGGGGGATGATTTGATGGGGAGATGATTTGATGGGAGATGATTTGATGGAGGGGGGAGATGATTGATATGGGGAAAGATTGATGGGAGGGGGGGGAGAAGAAGAGAAGATTACGGGGGAGAAGAAGGGATTACAGGGGGGGAGGGGAGAAGATTACGGGGGGGAGGGGAGAAGAAGACAAGATTACAGGGGGGAGAAGAAGCGGAGAACACAGGGAGGGGGGGAATAAGAGGAAAACACGGGGGGAGAAGAAGAGGAGAACACGAGGGGTGGGAGATGAGAAAGTAGGGGAGGGAGAGACCACTAAAGGAGGGAGGGGGCAGTGGAGAGACCGCTAAGGGAGGGGGGTGGAGGATAGACCACTAGGGGAGGGTGGGGGGAGAGGAGAGACCACTAATGGAAAGTCGGGGAGAAAAGGAGACCACTAAGGGAGGTGGGGGGGAGAGGAGAGAACACTAAGGGGCAGGGGAGATCTCTAAGGAATGGAAGGGAGAGCTCTATAGGGCAGGGGGACAGGGAGCTCTTTCACACCACGGGCACACACACACACAATGCATCCCTATACACACAGAAACACAACATGCTTCCCTTACACACAGAGAAACACACAATGCAACCCTTACACATAAAGACAATGCATCCTTTGCACATATACACAGAACACACACAATGCATCCCTTACACACACATGCAAACACACACTGTTTCTCTTACACACACACACAGAAACACAATGCATCTCTTACACACACTCAACACACCCCTTACAGACACACACACTGCATCCCTTACATACACAGAAACACACTTTGCATCCCTTATGCATACAAACACAGATTCACACAATGCATCCCTACACACAACAAGAAACACACAATACATCCCTTATACACAAACACTCACTGCTTTCTATCCCTTACACAAACAACACTGCATCACCTACACAAACTGGTATCCCTATACACTACATTCCGTAAGCACACACATTAGATCCTCTACAGTAACACATAACACATCCCCTACACACTCTACTCCCTGTGAGTTCATGGGTGGAACATGTAGGTGGCCTTATGGGTGGGCTTTATGGGCATACTCACCGTCAGGCCCTGGGGCCCAGACCTTGAGCTATGTAAGAGGCCCCCAAAAATGGAGCTGCTTCCCGTTCTCCCAGAACATTGAATTTTGTGACCACAGTTGCAAACAGCCTCCAGAGATCCTGTTCTAGACCAGTGGAGCCAGACTGCAGCCAGATCAGAGATCACCATCCTCATCTGATTGTAAGTAGGCAATCTAGTATATTATTAGTGACACTAATCTCTAATTTACCTCACATTAAATGAACACTATAGTCCCCAGAACCACTGCAGCTTAATAAAGTTGTTCTGGTGTCTATAGTTTGTCCCTGCAGGCTTTTTAATGTAAACACACACTGTGTGCAGCACTGGCATTAGTTCATATGGGTGGGGCATTGCGATGTTCCGGTGGGGGGGCGGCAAATCTTTCTTTTGCCTAGGGCGGCAAAAATCCTTGCACCGGCCCTGTTTTGGACTACACCTCCCATAATGCGTTGCCAGTATTATGGGAGATGTAATTCACAGCGTCTGGACTGCCTAAGGTTACCTACCTCTGAACTAGACGTTGATCCCATTACACAATGTTTAAGGCGCTGTGCAAACAGGAGCAGTCTGTCACGTGTCAGATGCCACTTCAATACTTTTAAATTCAATACTCCTCCCTGGACGCGGGCCTCAAACATGGGCTTCTTCATTCCACTTCATGTACTTCGTGTCCCATAGGAGAACATGCTTGTCAGAGTTTTAACACACACACACACACACAAAAAAAACAAAAACTGGTTAGAGTAAATGGCATAACAGACACAGTGCATGCAGACTTGCGTGCCACATACAGGGAGTGCAGAATTATTAGGCAAATGAGTATTTTGACCACATCATCCTCTTTATGCATGTTGTCTTACTCCAAGCTGTATAGGCTCGAAAGCCTACTACCAATTAAGCATATTAGGTGATGTGCATCTCTGTAATGAGAAGGGGTGTGGTCTAATGACATCAACACCCTATATCAGGTGTGCATAATTATTAGGCAACTTCCTTTCCTTTGGCAAAATGGGTCAAAAGAAGGACTTGACAGGCTCAGAAAAGTCAAAAATAGTGAGATATCTTGCAGAGGGATGCAGCACTCTTAAAATTGCAAAGCTTCTGAAGCGTGATCATCGAACAATCAAGCGTTTCATTCAAAACAGTCAACAGGGTCGCAAGAAGCGTGTGGAAAAACCAAGGCGCAAAATAACTGCCCATGAACTGAGAAAAGTCAAGCGTGCAGCTGCCACGATGCCACTTGCCACCAGTTTGGCCATATTTCAGAGCTTCAACATCACTGGAGTGCCCAAAAGCACAAGGTGTGCAATACTCAGAGACATGGCCAAGGTAAGAAAGGCTGAAAGATGACCACCACTGAACAAGACACACAAGCTGAAACGTCAAGACTGGGCCAAGAAATATCTCAAGACTGATTTTCTAAGGTTTTATGGACTGATGAAATGAGAGTGAGTCTTGATGGGCCAGATGGATGGGCCCGTGGCTGGATTGGTAAAGGGCAGAGAGCTCCAGTCCGACTCAGACGCCAGCAAGGTGGAGGTGGAGTACTGGTTTGGGCTGGTATCATCAAAGATGAGCTTGTGGGGCCTTTTCGGGTTGAGGATGGAGTCAAGCTCAACTCCCAGTCCTACTGCCAGTTCCTGGAAGACACCTTCTTCAAGCAGTGGTACAGGAAGAAGTCTGCATCCTTCAAGAAAAACATGATTTTCATGCAGGACAATGCTCCATCACACGCGTCCAAGTACTCCACAGCGTGGCTGGCAAGAAAGGGTATAAAAGAAGAAAATCTAATGACATGGCCTCCTTGTTCACCTGATCTGAACCCCATTGAGAACCTGTGGTCCATCATCAAATGTGAGATTTACAAGGAGGGAAAACAGTACACCTCTCTGAACAGTGTCTGGGAGGCTGTGGTTGCTGCTGCACGCAATGTTGATGGTGAACAGATCAAAACACTGACAGAATCCATGGATGGCAGGCTTTTGAGTGTCCTTGCAAAGAAAGGTGGCTATATTGGTCACTGATTTGTTTTTGTTTTGTTTTTGAATGTCAGAAATGTATATTTGTGAATGTTGAGATGTTATATTGGTTTCACTGGTAATAATAAATAATTGAAATGGGTATATATTTGTTTTTTGTTAAGTTGCCTAATAATTATGCACAGTAATAGTCACCTGCACACACAGATATCCCCCTAACATAGCTAAAACTAAAAACAAACTAAAAACTACTTCCAAAAATATTCAGCTTTGATATTAATGAGTTTTTGGGTTCATTGAGAACATGGTTGTTGTTCAATAATAAAATTAATCCTCAAAAATACAACTTGCCTAATAATTCTGCACTCCCTGTATATACAGCAGACAGACACAAAGATTGTGGGAGACACACCGGATTAAATATAAGAATTGGGATTACTATATATACAGAATGCACAAACAGACGGAGATTACAGAATTCAGTGACCGACGGATTTGGTTGCAGATGTGGGGCAGGCCCTCTGGCTGGGGTGCAGTTTCTCATCCATCCCTGGTGAGTGACTAGATGGCTGCGGTTTTGTAGCAAAAAGCATGCCATGGCATATGAGATCTAGGAAATAAATATTTTTCTGTAAAACTAGGGTTGTACACATCTAACACACAGGCCCCACGTACTGCACAGCTCCCCATCTAACGCACAGCCCCCAAATATAATACACTGCCCCCCCAAATGTAACGCACAGCCCCTCCATCTAATACACTGCCCCCCACATCTAACTCACAATATACTGCGCAGACAGACCCCCCCAATATACTGCGCAGACAGACCCCCCAATATATAGCATAGACAGACTAATATACTGCACAGACAGACCCCCCCAATATACTCTACAGAACCCACATGGCTGAGAGTGTATGGAGCAGGGAGAGACTGACCTGATAGATGACAATCAGGATGCTCCAGATAATCAGACACTGCGCGTGCACACTGAGGGGTAGGGAGATTTAACAGTGAAAGTGTCCATCAGATCTCCCTACCCCCACACTGCGCACGTGCGCTGTCCGTGTGTCGTGCTCTATCAAAATTCCCTACCCCGTGAAAAAACCCTACCCTCGTCACTTCCGGTGACGCAGCCGCACCGGAAGTGACGTTGGGACGGGTGGGTGTGCGCCGCCACGCAGGCGCACACCACCTAGGTAGGGAGTTTTCACAGCGAGGAGAGAAACTTAAGGCACAGTGCGCACGCGCGTCACTGTACTCCCATCGGAGGTACAGCGCGTGTGCGCACTTGATGCCAGGGAGCACCTCACACACCGCGCATGCGCAGTATAGGGGTAGGGAAATGTGATGGCCATTAGCCCTGTGAAATCTCCCTACCCCTATACTGCGCACGCGCGGACTCTGATCGTCTGATTAAAGCCTTTTCTGGGAACAGGTCAGTCTCTCCCTGCTCCCAACACTCTCAGCCATCCGAGGGGAGGGTGTACTATATTAGGGGTGTTTCAATGCATTCTATTGGGGAGTGGGGGGGGTTTAGTACATTATTATATTGGGGTCTGCGCTGCATATGGGGGGTCTGCGCTGTATGGGGGGGTCTGCGCTTGTATATGGGGATTCTTAAGGCCAGCCATGGGGGTCTGCGAGTGGTAGGGGGTGTCTGCTTCGCATATGGGGTCCACAGTATATGGGGGGTCTGGCGCCGTATAGATCCAGCAGGAGTATGGGTGTATTCAAGAGTATAGCTGGGGGTCCGCGCATAGGGTCTGCATGCGGAGTAGGGGTCTGCGCTGCATATGGGGTCTATAGTATATGGGGACTGGCGGCCCGTATAGGGGACGCGAGTATATGGGGGTCTTAAGCAGTATAGGGGATCTGGGCTGTATATGGTGGGTCTGCACTGTATATGGGGGTCTGCGCCTGCATATGGGGGTCTCAACAGTATGGGGGTCTGCGCTTGTATATTGGGGGTCTGCACAGTATATGGGGTTCAAGGCCAGTATATGGGTCTGCTTGTATAGGGGTCTGGCGATTTAGGGGCCAGCGAGTATATTGTGGGGTCTGTTGCATAAGGCAGGGGGGTCTGCGCTGTATATTGGGGGTCTGCACAGTATATGGGGGGTCTGCGCTGCATATTGGGCGGTCTGCGCAGTATATGGGGGGTTGCGCAGTATATTGGGGGGTCTGTGAAGTATATTGGGTTGGCCTGTGTGTTAAATGTCAAGGGCAGTGTGTTAGATGGAGGGGCTGTTTGTTACATGTGGGGGGGACAGTGTATTATATTTGGGGGCTGTGCGTTAGATGGGGAGCTGTACAGTACGTGTGGCCTGTGTGTTAGATGTGTACAACCCTAGTTTCACAGAAAAAATATTTATTTCCTAGATCTCATATGCCATGGCATGCTTTTTGCTATGAAACCGCAGCCATCTAGTCACTCGCCAGAGAAGGATGAGAACTTCAACATTGTGTACTGTGATCACGGCATAGTTCAGAGGTAGGTAACCTTGGGCAGTCCAGATGCTGTGAATAACATCTCCCATAATGCTGGCAAACCATTATGGGAGGTGTAGTCCAAAACATCTGGAATACCGAATGCGTATGAATGCAAAGTATGGTGTGTGTGAATGGTCAGTAACAAGGGTTGAAGCCTTGACGTGGCGTTACTGCTCACATGTGTATTCATGTGCCAATTCAACCAATGTGAGTCACTGTAATACTTATAAGGTAACCAAAAGTACTTAGATTGTGGCGAATGAAACGCCTGTATCACCTACACACTGTTTACACTGTGACCGTATCTCCTAAACACTGCTTACACTGTGACCATATCTCCTAAACACTGCTTACACTGTGACCCTATCGCCTAAACACTGCTCATACTGTGACCCTATCGCCTAAACACTGCTCATACTGTGACCCTATCACCTAAACACTGCTTACACTGTAAGCACAGACATGCTTTTATTCAAAATTGAAAGCGCTCGATCATTCTTTCTATTCTACGCCTCCAATCTTCAACATTGAAATTGTCATTTCTAATAATAGAAAATAAATAATATGCTTTCTGGTTACGATTTGGTGAGTTGTAACTATATTTTTTATTTTTACAGTTCCAGAGGGAAGGAGCAAACCGCATTGAGGAGTCCCTGCATAAGAGACTATTGGATACTTAAGGGCTGTACTGCAGTGTCGGCTCTAGACTTGTCGAGGCCTTAGGCGAAACTCATACATGAGACCCCACGGAGAACACCATTATTGAAGAAAAAATAGCAGTTGACTTTGTGTATAAGAAGCTGTAGATATATTGATGGAGGAGCTCAGTGGTGTATCCTGGTTTTGTGCTGCCCTAGGCAGGACAAAATTCAGGCACCCACCTTCCCCCCACCCCGCCTTCTACATACACACGCACACATTCACTGACAGATACGCATACATTAGCTAACAGAAACACACACTCACTAACAGACACACACAGTCAGACACACACTCTCTAACAGACACACTCACTAACAGACATACACACACTCACTCACATTAACACATTTATCTTTTTAAATTTACCCCCCCCCCCAACCTCCTTACCTTTGCTAATGCTGGGGGGGGTTTTCTATCTCCCTGGGGTCTAGTGGGACTGCCGGTCGGGCTGCTGGGCTGGTTGCTGGGGGGGCGGGCGGGCGTGCAGCTGGCGAGGGAACACTTCCTCTGAGGTGTCTGCTCAGCTCCCTCGCGCGCCGCAGAGTGAGGCTGGGAGCCGGAATATGACGTCATGTTCCGGCTCCCAGCCTCACTCTGCGGCGCGCGAGGGAGCTGTGCAGACAGCTCAGAGGAAGTGTTCCCTCGCCAGCCGCCCGCCAGCCCAGCATGTAAGTTAGCCGCAAGGCTAACAAGGCATTTGCCCTGGGCATTTGGAGGCGGCTTTTTTTGCCGTCCCCTGGAAAATCCCGCCCAAGGCAAATGCCTTGTTTGCCTCGTGGCTAAAACGTCCCTGGTGGAGCTTGCAGCACTGGATACACAGAGCTTGTCTCTGTATACATCGTTGCATTGTCTACCTGAGTGTGTGTATCTGACAGTGAGTATCCTTGTATCTATATGTATGTTTCTCTGAGCATGTGTATGTTTGTGTACTGACTGGCCTTTGGCACTGAGTTTATGGCGAAGATATGTTTTATGACGGTGTGTATAATGATTGCCTTTAGGGGGGTGACAGGGTGAGTAAAAGGCGAAACTGTGGCAGGGTGAGTGTAAAAGAGCAGGAGGGTGCCAGCGTGTTGAGGGTTGACAGTGTGTGTGGACGGTGGTGCCAGAGTGTGGAGAGTGGTGGCCATGTGGGGAGGGTGACATAGTGTGAGAGGGAGGGTGATGAGGTGAGGGGGGAATGACAGAGTAAGAGGTGGGGGTGACGTAATGTGAGAGTATGGGTGACAGTAAGGGTGAGTGACAGTGAGGGTGGGTGACATAGTGTGAGGAGGATGACAGAGTGAGGGGGTGATGGTGAGGTGACCGTAAAAGGGGGGTGACAAGGGGCGATGAGGTGAGGTGACAGTAAGGGAGGGGTGATAATAACAATATCTGATATTAGGCCACATGTGCAATTATTATGTAATTAATGGACAACATACTTTTTCAATTTTGTTAAATTAGAAATTAAATATTGTTTGACTTTTTTATATTGCCACTTTAAAACAATTTAAAATCTACAGTAATTTGTCTGTAATAACGTTAACCTGTTAATTATTGTGGGACAGTGGAGAGCAAACCCAAACTGGGACTCTACTAAACAATCCAGGACTGTTAGGAAATATGGCTTTGTAACAACATATGATAATTTATGGTGCATATAGGTCCTCTTGTCACTGTGCCTATGCATAGTTTTGCTTATAAATGTGATGACTTTCAAAAGATAGCAATAAGCATAGTAAGAAGTTGCTCTTTAAAAGCCCACGTCATCTCGTTGAAGTGGTTTGGGTGCAGTGCCAATGTTCCCTTACCCTGCAATGTTAAATATTGCAGTTTCTGAGAAACTACAATGGAACGCAGCAAGTGCTGGTATTATTTGTAGCTAAGTAACACAAATTGCATGTTAGGGTGTCAGCAAAATACTTTATTTCTTCAAAGTTAATTTGCATTTTAGACTTTATATGTATAGTGGAAAAAATACAAAAGTCAAATTTGGAAACTGGTTAAGAAAAGTCACACTGTGGTATCCAAGAAGGAGAAAGTTCAATCACATGTAAAGAAAGGCTGTATGGCACTAGGAAGGTAGTATCTTAATAATATAATATAATGGTCTCTTTCCCTGGACGGACCACGATTCTTAATCACTGGAAAATGAAGGTTACATCATGTCTGCAGCATGTGTTCCGAAGCAGCCATATGGAAGTTTTCTATAGAAGAAGGTAATCTCTTCTGTTTGAGCAGGTCGAGGTTAATGGTGGTGGGTTTGTCTCTGGCACTGGAACCATCAGTAGAGGAGTGTAAAATTGAGAGGATCACCTTGTTCTTCCCACAAATGTAAGAAAACACAGAACAGAAGATTGAGGAGAGTGGTTAACAAATCAATGAAACCGCAAACACTAAAACTAACTTGAAAAAATAACATTCACAGTGTAAGCAGTGTTTAGGCGATTGGGTCACAGTGTAAGCAGTGTTTATGGGATACGGTCACAGTGTAAGCAGTGTTTATGGGATACAGTCACAGTGTAAGCAGTGTTTAGGAGATACGGTCACAGTATGAGCAGTGTTTAGGCGATAGGGTCACAGTGTAAGCAATGTTTAGGAGATACGGTCACAGCATGAGCAGTGTTTAGGCGAGAGGGTCACAGTGTGAGCAGTGTTTAGGCGAGAGGGTCACAGTGTAAGCAGTGTTTAGGCGATAGGGTCACAGTGTAAGCAGTGTTTAGGAGATACGGTCACAGTGTAAACAGTGTGTAGGTGATACAGGCGTTTCATTCTCCACAATCTAAGTACTTTTGGTTACCTTATAAGTATTACAGTGACTCACATTGGTTGAATTGGCACATGAATACACATGTGAGCAGTAACGCCACGTCAAGGCTTCAACCCTTGTTACTGACCATTCACACACACACACACCATACTTTGCATTCATACGCATTCGGTATTCCAAATGTTTTGGACTACACCTCCCATAATGGTTTGCCAGCATTATGGGAGATGTAATTCACAGCATCTGGACTGCCCAAGGTTACCTACCTCTGAACTATGCTGTGATCACAGTACACAATGTTGAAGTTGCTGTGCAAACAGGAGCAGCTTGTCATGTGTTAGATGCCACTTTATTACTTATAAATTCAATACTCCACCCTGGATACGAGCATCAGACATGGGCTTCTTCATTCCTCTTCATGTACTTCGTGTCCCATAGGAGAACATGCTTGTCAGAGCTGTGACACACAAAAAAATAAATAAACTGGTTAGAGTAACTGGCATAACAGACACAGTGCATGCAGACTTGCGTGCCACATACATACAGCAGACAGACACAAAGACTGTGGGAGACACACCGGATTAAATATAAGAATTGGGAGTACCATACATACACAATGCACAAAGAGACGGAGATTACGGATTCGGTGACCGACGGATTTGGTTGCAGATGTGGGTCTGTCCCTCTCGCTGGGGTGCAGTTTCTCATCCTTCTCTGGTGAGTGACTAGATGGCTGCGGTTTCATAGCAAAAAGCATGCCATGGCATATGAGATCTAGGAAATAAATATTTTTTCTGTGAAACTAGGGTTGTACAAATCTAACACACAGGCCACACGTACTGTACAGCTCCCCATCTAACGCACAGCCCCCAAATATAATACACTGCCCCCCCACATGTAACAAACAGCCCCTCCATCTAACACACAGGCCACCCCAATATACTTCACAGACCCCCCAATACACTGCGTAACCCCCATATACAACGCAGACCCCCCAATATACTGCGCAGACAGCCCACCATATACAACGCAGACCCCCCAATATACAGCGCAGACCCCCCACAATATACTGCACAGACCCCCCACATGCAGCGCAGACCCCCCAATATACTGCGCAGACAGCCCCCCATATACAGCGCAGACAGCCCCCCATATACTGCACAGACCCCAATATAATAATGTACTAAAACCCCCACTCCCCAATAGAATACACTGAAACCCCCCTAATATAGTACACCCTCCCCTCGGATGGCTGGGAGTGTTGGGTGCAGGGAGAGACTGGGTAGGGAGATTTCACAGGGCTAATGGCCATCACATTTCCATACCCCTATATTGAGCATGCGCGGTGTGTGAGGCGCTCCCTGGCCACTAGTGCGTGCGCACGCGCGCTGTGCCTTTAGTTTCTCTTCTTGCTGTGAAAACTCCCCAACCTAGGTGATGTGCGCCTGCCAACTCTCCCCCCAACGTCACTTCCGGTGCGGGGGGGGGGGGAGATTTGATAGCACACCCTGTGTTCTAAAGTGACGAGAGTAGGCAAAGCAGGATAAATAAATAAATAAATATATAGTATTCTGAGTTGCACGTGACATTGTTTTTGCAGCCTTCCACAGAGCGGTGTGCGGAATATTCCAGAACGCAGACACTACGTCAGAGCGAATGGGCTGCTGCGGTCTCTGATTGGCTGATTTCTAGTGGCGGGAATTGCGCTCCATGTCAGACAGACACTGAGCAGCCCGCGCCAGACCGCGAGCGATGGGGTCATGGAGCCGGCTTCTGTCACTGGCCCTTCTAGGCGCTCTCAGTGTCTTACTATCCGGCGTCTCGGGTGAGTGTGAGGCTTCGAGGGATCATCATTACAGGAGAGAGAGTGAGGCTTCATCATCATTACAGGAGAGAGAGTGAGTGAGGCTTCATCATCATTACAGGAGAGAGAGTGAGTGAGGCTTCATCATCATTACAGGAGAGAGAGTGAGTGAGGCTTCATCATCATTACAGGAGAGAGAGAGAGAGAGAGAGAGTGTGTGAGAGAGACTTCATCATCATTCAAGGAGAGAGAGAGAGTGTGAGACTTCTAGGGATCATCATTACAGGAGAGAGAGTGTGAGACTTCATCATCATTACAGGAGAGAGTGTGAGAGTTCGCGCGCGCGGGAGAGTGTGAGACTTCTAGGCGTCATCATCATCATTACAGGAGAGTGTGAGAGAGTGTGTGTTATTTATTTTCTGTCTGTCTGTCTGTCTGTATTCAGGTGCCAGTGATGATATCTGCATTGTGAACAGTTGCAATGGTACACACTGTAACCTGTGGCTGAAGCAGGATCTCGAAAACCCTAAAGTGTTCAGTGAAAGAAGAGAAAACCTGCTCTTTTATATGCAGGGAACTCTGGCGAATGGATCTGTTCCCTCTGAAAACCATAATAACAGCCCTATTATTATTATTAAATCAACCGGCATGAAGGCACTGTATGTGGAACATGTTCTCAATGGGCAGAAACTGACTGCAAACTGCACCTACAGAAGTAAGTAAACCCCCATGGGGAGGGTGATAGAAATTATATGATGTCATTCTATGTTTTAAGGTACAGGGTAACATTTATCATTAAGTGGGGGGTAAGAGGGGCAAGACTGGCCATGTATTAACCTTATCTGAGGAATCCTATTCTCTATGATCCCCCTGTCCTCTAAAAATAGCTGGTCCCTCAGATTGTCCTTCTCTGATCTCCTTCATTTAACATTAAATATATCTATGAATGAAACCATACTGACTTTTTCTTCAAATATTTATTTCCAGCAGAGAGAAATTCAACGCAGACTGACGGGGATATTATGGGGAGTACTGGTGTGATTACAATAGTTTTGCTGATTGTCGGGATTGCAATAGTTTTGCTGATTGTCGGGATCATTGTGTGGGTGAGTCTTGTCAAATAGATTTTTCTAAACAAACAGAAAACACACACACATACATACTAACACACACACATCCCACCACCACCACACCCCTTTGAGAGATAAAGGATTAGCAATAAATGTTATATTACCTGTATGTTAAACGTAATTTTTGTTTTTTTTTATCCCTCTCTCTGTCTTCTACCCAAAAAGTACAAGAAATACAGAAGATCGGCTGATAGTGCTAAATCACCAGAAACTAGAACTCCTCAGGAGATGGTATTACTTTAGCAGGGGTTTGGGGTCATGCTGTATGAGGGTCAATGTGTGGGCTATATGGGACTCTATTATATTATGGCCCTGTACTTTGTGTGTTTACAGGATGCCATGATTTCCTCAAATGGAGTACAGCAACCAGGAGCTCACAATGTCTTAGAACCAACTGATCAGCAGAACCCAGTAAGTTGGCAGCGAAAATAGAAATAATTATTCAAGGGCAGATTGACATATGTGGTCAACCTGGCTGATTAGCAACTATGATACAGTTATTAACCCCTTAAAGAGACACTGCAGGTTATAAAGAGAAGGGTTGCTTAAATGCACCAAGAGGGTCGAAAGCAGCAGAGATATGTAAAGGGTGATTTATAGACATATTGGGAAGAGATGCTGAAATGTGCCACGGTGGTCTGTATTTGTTTTATGTTCTGTGCATTGACTTCCGGCACCTTTAGAGCTAGTAACTATATTGTTTGATATTGTGTATTCTTTAACCCCTTCAGGACGGTTGACGGACGAGGTCCGTCACAGAGGGGAGACCCTTAACGACGGGTGACGGACCTTGTCCGTCACGCGGTAAAATTAACCCCGGATCGCCGCTATCGCGGGGTTAATGGTGCTCCCGGTATGCCTCTGCATTAGAGGCATACCGGGAGCACCCGGTCAGGCTGCCCAGCACATGTGCTCGCTCTGACCGCAAGTCTGAGCGAGCACATGTGCTCTCTATATTCACCTACCGGCTCCCTGCACTTCCGGGTTCTGTGTGAAGTGCAGGGAGCCGGATCAGTGCTGATCCTGCCCCCTGCTGTTTAAAAAAATAAAGTTTATTTAAAGTCCCCCCCCCTTACCCATTTTAATAAAAAATTAACCCCTTCCCTGCCAATTGATCACTGACTACAGTGATCAATTGGCAGGGATTACATTTTACTATGATCTGATTTTTTTTTTTTTTTTAACCCTCAGGGGTTAAGTTAATTAAATTAATTAATTACATTATTTTTTAATTATATATTTAGCTAGCTGGGGTAGGTGGAAGTTAGTGGGGAATTGGGGGATTTGGCGTTAGGCTAACTAGGGGTTAACGTTAAAAAAAGTTTTAAAAGAAACCTTAAAAAGTAAAAAATTAAGCTTAAAAAAAGTTTTAATAACATTTAAGTAAAAAAAAACACTACCTAGTCCAAATAAAAATTAACCCCTTCCCTGCCAGTCGATCACTGCCTACAGCGATCAAATAGAGATCACAGTATTATACTGTGATCTAATTTTTTTTAACCCCTGAGGATTAACTTTTATTTATTTTTTTAACCCTCAGGGGTTCAATTTATTTAATTAATTAATTTAAATATTTTATAACTATATATTTTGCTAGCTGGGGTGGGTGGGAGTATGGGAAAATGGGGAATTTACTGTTATGCTGCGTACTGCTAGTTAGGGGTTAACGGTAAAAAAAAAAGCTTAGAAAAATGTTAAATCTGTAAAAAAGTTTTAAGAAAGTTTAGGAAAGTTTAAAAAAAATTTATAAGCAAAACAAAAGTTTAAAACTAGTTTTTAAAAGTAAAAAAGTTATAAAAAGTAAAAAAATACATTTTAAAAACGCTCATTACCACTA